CAGTGATATTATCAAAGAAAACCTAAGCTGGACACTAATTAAAGTGATAAGGACAGATCTTAATTAGTAATAACAATTGCAATAAAGAACAGACTTCAACAAGGTTGAATTAAACTTCTATTTGTAAACAGGTAACTGGGCATTTTAAAGGGAGAATGAGGGAGGGGGCTAAGCAGGGACTCAGTAGAGTCAATAAAGGGAAAAATTACAGAAAACAGTAAAAAGCAGGGATGGCGATTGGTCCATGTGAAGCCCATCTAGGTTTACTAACTGGTAGTTTCTTTTGGGAGCAGAATCTAATAGGAAAACATCATTCTAGATGGGAAAGCACTTGTTTAGAAGACTACAAAACCTGAATTGTAAAGGGAAAATAGATGGATTTGACCATGTCGAAATTTAAGGTATCTCTGGAATAATATCAGAGCAACCTAAAGGAAATAATTTTCAAACATACAGTAAAAGAAACAATAAGGCAATTAAAATGGTACACTAATAGCTACCTACTTAACACAAAGGAAGGCAGTGACGGAAGAATAGGAAACACACACGCAGGACCTGTAGAAACAGACAGCAAAGTGAAGGAAGTTCTTTCTCATTAGTAATTACATTAAATTAAAAGTAAAAGGCAGATATTGTCAGAATGGATAAAATATGTGATCCAACTGTAAGGACATGAGGCTGGTTTTAGATTCAAAGACACAAATAGGTTGAAAATAAAGGAATGGAAAAAGATACACTTTGCAAACAACAACCAAAACAAAGGTGAAGTAACTATACTAATATCAGACAAAGTAGATTTAGAGACAAAAATGGTTACCAGTGACAAATAAGGACATAATACAATGATAAAAGGGTTAATTTACCAAAGAGATAAATACATATGCACCTAACAGCAGAGCACCAAAATACATGAAGCAAAAACTGACAGAATTAAAAAGAGAAAAAAATAATTCAACAGTCATAGTTGGAGACTTTAATATTGTATTTTAACAAAAGATAGAACAACTAGACAGAAGATCAGCAAGGAAATAGAAGACTTGAAAAACACAATAAAAACCGACTACACCTAATAGACCTCTATAGAATACTCCATACAACAAGAGCAGAATATACATTCTTTTCAAGTACACATGGAATATTCCCCAGGATAGAAATATGTTGGAATAAATCTTAATACTTTCTTTAAAAATTGAAATAATGGGCCGGGCGCGGTGGCTCAAGCCTGTAATCCCAGCACTTTGGGAGGCCGAGGCGGGTGGATCACGAGGTCAAGAGATAGAGACCATCCTGGTCAACATGGTGAAACCCCGTCTCTACTAAAAATACAAAAAACATTAGCTGGGCATGGTGGTGCGTGCCTGTAATCCCAGCTACTCAGGAGGCTGAGGCAGGAGAATTGCCTGAACCCAGGAGGCGGAGGTTGCGGTGAGCCGAGATCGCGCCATTGCACTCCAGCCTGGGTAGCATGAGTGAAACTCCGTCTCAAAACACAAAACAAAACAAAAAAATAAATAAATAAATAAAAATTGAAATAATGTATGTTATCTGACAATAATAAGATGAAATTAGAAATAAATAGTGGAAGAAAACTTGGAAATTAAACAAAACATTGCTAAGTAACTAATGGATCAAAGAAATGTAGAAAATCTTTTGAGATGAATGAAGACAAAAACACAACATACCAAAATTTATAGGATGCATCAAAAGAAGTGCCCAGAGGGAAATTTATAGCCACAAACACCTACTTTTAAAAAAAGAAAACCTTTAAATCAATAACCTAACCTTCTACCTTAGGAAACTGGAAAAGGAACAAACTAAACCCAACACAAACAAAAGAAAGAAAATAATAAAGATTAAGGCATAAATAAATAAAGGATAATTTTAAGATCAAAAAAGGTCAATAAAATGAAAAGTTGGTTCTTTGAAAGAAAGACAAAATTGACAAACCTTTAGCTAAGCTGAACAATGAAAAAGAGGGAAAGACACAAATTACTGAAATCAGGAAAGAAAGGGGGACCATTACTATCAACCTAACAGAAATAAAAAGAATTATAAAATAATATTTGGACCAACATAATGGACAATTCTATGCCAACAACAGATATCACAGATGAAAAGAACAAATTCCTAGAAAGACACAAATTACCAAGACTGACTAAAGAGCAATAGAAAAATATTAATAAACCTATATCAAAGAAGTAAAAAGATTGAATTAGCAATAAAGCAACTTCCCACAAGGAAAAATCCAAAGCCAGATTGCTTCATTGGTAAGTTCTACCAAAGTTTAAATAATAATTAACACAAACCCTTCACAAACTCTTCCAAAAAACAGAAGAGGGAACACTTTCCCACTCATTCTATGAGGTTAGTATTACCCTGATACCAAACTTAAACAAGGACATCACAAGAAAAGGAAACTAGAGACCAATATTCCTTATGAATATACATGCAGAAATTCTCAATAAAATACTAATAAACCAAATACAACAGCTTATAAATAGAATTATATGCCATACCCAGGTGAGATTTATCCCAGGGATGCAAGATTGGTTCAACAAACAAAAAACAATTATTGGCCGGGTGCGGTGGCTTACACTTGTAATCCCAGCACCCTGGGAGACCTAGGAGGGCGAATGGTAAGGTCAGGAGTTCGAGACCAGCCTCCAACACAGTGAAACCCTGTCTCTAGTAAAAATACAAAAATTAGCTGGGCAGAGCGACAGGCATCTGTAATCTCAGCTGCTCGGGAGGCTGAGGCAGGAGAATCACTTGAACCTGGGAGTCGGAGGTTGCAGTGAGCCAAGATCATACCACTGCACTCCAGCCTGGGTGACAGAGCTGGACTCCATCTCAAAAAAACAAAAAAATAAAATAAAAACAAAAAACCCAACAATTATTGTGTCACTGTGTTAATAAAATAAAGGAAAAATATCATAAAGCATCCCAATTGCTACATTAAAAAAAACATTGGACAAAATCTAACACACTTTTATGGTCAAAAAACAAAAACAAAAAAAGAACTGGACAAACTAGGAATAGAAAGGAACTTCCTCAACCCTCAACCTGAAAAAGGGCACCAGTGAAAAATTCACAGTGAACATTACGCTTACTGGTGAAGTACTGAAATCTTCCTCCCTAAGATCAGGAGCAAGATAAAAATGTCTGCTCACCACTTGTATTCAACATTGGACTAGAGATTCCAGCCAGAACACTTAGTGAAGAAAATTAATAAAGACATACAGATTAGGAAAGAAGAAGTAAAACTCTCTATTTGCAGATGACGTGATTCAAGTTTGCAGGATATAAGCTCAGTATACAAATAATGGTTGTATTTCTATATCAGCAATGAACAAGCCAAAAATGAAATGAAATTAAGAAAGCAATTCCAATTACAACAGCATCAAAAAGAGTACAATACTTAGGAATAAATTTTACAGAAAAAGAGCAAGATTTGTATACTGAAAACTCCAAAATATTGTTGAAAGAATTTTAAGAAGATCTAAATAAATTAAGACATCTATGTCCGTGGGTTAGAAGGCTTAATATTGCTAAAATGACAGTGCTCCCCAAATTGATCTACAGATTCAGCATAATCCTTATCAGAATTCCAGCTGGTTTCTTTTGCAGAAATTGATGAGCTGGTTCTAAAATTCATATGGAAACTCAAGGAACTCAGAATAACCAAAGCAATCTTGAAAAAGAAAAAAAAAGTGGGAGGGTTCACATTTCCTGATTTCAAAACGTACTACAAAGCTACAGTTGATCAAACCAGTGTGGTACTGGCACCAAGACAGACATATAGGTCAGTGAAACAGAATTGAGAATCTGAAAGAAACCCATGTGTCTGTGGTCAATTGAGTTTTGACCAGAGTGCCAAGTCTATTCAATGGGAAACAATTGTCTTTTCAACCAATTATGCTGGAACAACGGGATATCCACATGCAAGAGAATGAATTTGAACCTAGCCTCACTCCATACACAAAACTCAACATGGATCAAAGATCTAAATGTAAGAGCTAAAGCTATAAAACTCTTAGAAGTATAAATTGGCCAAGTATGGTGGCTCACACCTATAATTCCAGCACTTTGGGAAGCTGAGGTGGGAGAATTAATTGAGCCCAGGAGTTTGAGACCAGCCCAATCAACATAGTGTACACTGAAAACTCCAAAACTTTATTGAAATGTTTCTCTAAATAAATATTTTCTCTAAATAAATAAATATTTAAAAAATAAAAGAACAAAAAATGAAAAATATAGCCAGGCATGATTGTTTGTGCCTGTAGTCCCGGTTACTCAGAAGACTGAGACAGGAGGATCGCCTGAGCCCAGGGAGGTCGAGGCTGCAGTGAGCCAAAGTCGCGCCACTGTACTCCAGCCTGGACAACCGAATGACACCCTATCTCAAAAAGAAAAAAGAAAATCATTTCCTCTTAGTGTTCAAATTTGTCACCATTAATATTTTCTTGTATTTACTGTGGCTGTTTCACCTTTGTCATTCCACTTTGTTCTCTTTCTTGATTACCCAGTATCTTTAAAACTTGTCAGAATACTGCCTTTTAAATTTATTTTCCACTATCCGCCTTTGTTTTCTATGTCATTAAGTTTTGATCTTTATTTGACAGCTATCTGGATTTGTCTGGTGTATTCCTAAGGCATCATGAGGCACTGAGTCAAGGTAAGACAGGAAGTGCTAAATCTCATCAGACACTGGAGAATGATGTGAGGATGCACCACCATGGTCCTCCCTGCTTTGCCATGCCTCTGATAACAAGAAAGTCTATACATAGACTTCATATGAGGAGAGCCCTGGTATGGAATGGCACTCAAGTGCTCTATTTTTCCACTCTCAGCTCTGACACATCTCTGACAGGAGGCAAGTAGACAGGTGGTACAAGTTCCCCTGGAGTTTGTTTCTGACAGAGACCCCTCTCAGTTGTAGATGCCCCAATCCCTATGTCATAATGCAATTGTGAATTCAGAGCTCTCTCCTCACTCATGTTACTCATGCCAGACCTTGGGATGCAGAGAAATCAGGGCTAATGAACCATCTAGGGACAGGCCATGGGGGTTCAATTTTGTGTAAGTGACATGGCCAGATCTATAGGTGGACTAGGGGTGGGTAGGTATCCCCCTGGACTTTACAGAACTTGAGAAAAGAGAGGATGCTAAAGTAATGTCTTTGTATAGAGCCATAGAGAGAAACAACAGTCTTAACTCATTTATGTATTTCCCATTTAATTCTGATGACAGACCAAAGGCAATTTAATTTTAATTGTAATTGAGGATGTTGACGAAACCATTGAATGGAAGATATTGCAGAAGAAGAAAGAGCAGAAAACCAAGGTGAGAATTCCATGTAGTTAAGAGAAATCCAGAACATTTATATCTACATCATGAGGTGTGGGACTTTGCCTCTTATGGATCCAGAGTCTAATTAGGAGTCAACTCAATGTTAGCTAATTTTCCCTCCATCCTCTCCTCAGTCTAGGCTGTCTGGTCGGGGTCTGACTGAGATATTGAGAGTGATTGGAAAGAATGAAAGCCATCAAGAAATGCATGGGGCTGAGAGGTGAGAGTGTGAGAACCTGGAATTAGAGGGCAGAATGTTCAAAATATGGAAAGGCTTAGAGTAGAATATGTGGTCAGGGTATTTAAAACCCACCACAGTATTGAAATATATGGTTGTGGCAGAGAGAAATCAGCCAGTGGTGGTTTGGGGCTGGAATTAGCAGAGAGTAACCAGGCAGAAGGTTATGAGGCCATGCTTTCCAAACCCAGTGAACATCAAAGAGATGAGTGACTAACAAGGTCCTGCACATCGCTACTGCACCCTTCTAGTTACTAATGGTTTTTCCCTTGATCCATGCACTGCTGAGGTAGTCAGGAGAAGGACTCTGTGACTCTGAGAGTGAGGTGATGGGTCCACAGTGGCAGAGGAAGGTCACCACCAGGTCTGCTGGCTCCTGCTAACTCTCCTGAACTCTGAGGAAGGGCTGTGTGTTGAGAGAGGAAACCCAGGCTCCTTCTAGGAAGATCCTAGAAGTTGGTGGCAGGAAGTTTCCTGAGTGATCTCTCTTGTCTCTGCCTAGGAAAAACATAGAATAAGAACAAACGCAGCCATAAAGATCCAGGCCTGGTGGCGGGGCACCCTGGTGCGCAGGACACTGCTGCATGCGGCCCTCAGGGCCTGGATAATTCAGTGCTGGTGGCGGATGACGCTGTTGAGGGTGCTGGAGAAGAAACGGCAGGCAGCTCTGATCGCCTACGCAACCAGAGAGAGGGCAGTGATCAAGCTCCAGTCTTTGGTCCGCATGTGGCGCATCCACTGGCGATACTGCCAGGTGCTCAACGCCATCTATGTCATCCAGGGCCACTGGCAATGCCACAACTGCCAGACCTGTGCTCTCCTCCGGGGCCACTGTGTGGTCACAGCCACTCACCTGCAGTTTCACATTGAGATAATCAATTCCTAAGGGCTGGCAGGAAGGGCACTGTGTCTACTGTCCTTATTAAAGATCTAACCTGGTCTTATGTGTCTCACGGGGTCCCCCAGCTAATGGGAATCTTGAGACTTGAACCTTGCTGCCTCCTCTTCCTCCTGGCAAAGAATTTCAGTGAGGTTTGCCCCTGTGTCCATGGAACCTGTTTTGGGCTGGTAATGGCTTTAGGAAGCTCCAGTCTGCCCTGATGTATGACAGAGCTAGAAATTCCATTCCCGTCCCCAGCCTTATTTTGTTCTCACTGAGGGATCTGGGAGGCAATTGGGCTGCATATTCCTGGAGATTCTGGGCACTTCTGCATATATGGATGGATTATTGGGCTCTGCCCTGTCAATCTAGAATCAAGGTCAGCTGGGGTCTGGGATGCCTCAGTTTCCTTTTAGGCAAGCACCTAGATGGAAGAATAGCAATATTTGGCTGATTCTCCTGGGAGCAATGCAATGCAGCCCCAGGTGAAGAATAAGAGGCTGGCCTTAGTGGTAGTGGGGCTGGGGCTAGGCATGTTAATGATTAGGTGGTGACCCTGAGGACTAGCGGAAAACAGAAGCTCACAGAAGCTCATCTCTTTCTCTACAATTCCCTCACCAGAACTCCTCTCCCCAAGGGCCATGTGACAAACAGGGCTCCCTCTGATATTACCTCCACCCTTACTCTTATCTCAATTATTGGTGATTTTATCATTGGTCAAGATGATCCTACAATCTCCTCCATTCTAACCTCAAATAAACCTTTTCTGCTCTCCTCCTCAGCTATTCACTCCCACAGTCATACCAAAACAGTGCTGTTCTATAGAACTTCTGTGATGATGGCAATCTTCTCTATGCTGTCCAACATAGTAGCCACTAGCCACCTATGGGTGTGGTGCACCTGAAATGTGCCTAGTACAACTGAGGAATTGAACTTTTGATTTTATTTAATTTAAATTTAAATAGTCATTGGACAATGAGGCTGTAGACCTCATCATCACCAATAATTGTAATATTATTCAAATTGTTTTTCTAGTTTTCCATTCTTTGATTACTTTCTTCTTTCCTTTCAGTTCACCTTTTCAATAACCCCAATAGAATATTTCTTTAGATGTGATAAGGTTTTCCAGTTTATTGACCCTATTAATTTTTTTACGGCCACCACCCTTGACATGCTCTCGCACGTTTCTTTACCTAGTGCAGATTCTGTGGTTAATTATGATCATCTTTCCCCGGCACTACCTGACTCCCTGGGCCCACTCTTTTTCTGCAAACATGTATGAGATGAAGCCAACCATCTCCCTGTCCTGTGCCTACACAATCAGGGAGCATGGCTGGGACAAAACCAACAACCATGAGGCACGGACTTAATTTATATTTCTGACCACATATCTCAACTGGACTGATTTCCCAATAAATTTCTCTAGGATATTTGCATTTATATTTTCTGAGTTGAATAATTTACACCACCCCCTCTCCAAATGTTATTTAGGTTGGAATAATTTGTGTCAGAAATGAAACCTGAAAAAGAACACTATTGGAAGGGATTGACGATTCTTGGCACTGGTCTGCAGGACCCACTTGAGCCCTTTGAGCTCTTTGCTTCCAAGGCTCACCTTTTCTGCCCTGCTGAGTCTTCCCTCAGGCTGAGCCTCCCTATTTTTTGTACTATTTGATATTACTTGGGATCTGGTCTGGATCACACAACCTTAATAAAGGACCATACATCTCTCTCTGGATGACAAAAAGACTTTTTGTCTTTTCTGGTAAGTGCTTTCTTATACAAAGATGTGTGTCTTTCTGAATTGAGTTCTCTTGTTTTCTACAAGGTGAGCCTTGGAAGCAAAGAGCTCAAAGGGCTCAAGTGGGTCCTGCAGACCAGTTCTAAGAATCAACAATCCCTTCCAATAGTGTTCTTTTTCAGGTTTCATTTCTGACATGATTATTCCAACCTAAATAACAAACTTTTGGAGAGGAGGTAGTGTAAATTAGTATTTCTACAAGAGAACTCAATCTGTGAGGCATGTCTTTTTTGGTTTGTGGAATTCATTTAATACATTGATCAGCATTCATAGGATACGATTTTTGTGAACACTCTTATACTGGTTCTTTTTGATTTGGTTTGACTCTTTTCTTGTTTCTGAAGATCTTCTAAAAGCAAAAACAAACATTCTGGATGGTGGGTGCAGGACTGCTAATTAAAAGCCACTAGGGAAGTCACCACCATCTGAAACACCAGCCTAAACTCCTGATGTTCCCCAACAGGATTTATAGAATTTTCTTTGCTCTTGAGAGACTAATAAGAAACAGAATAGAATTCTCAAACATTAAGGTGTACCAGGTTTTCTGGGACTCCAGCTGTCTGCATATTACAGCCCACTCTTGAAAACATTTTAAAATTGACGAGCAAAATTATTTATTTCTATTTTTATTTTTTATTTTTGAGACAGTTTCATTCTGTCACCCAGGCTGGAGTGCTGTGGCACCATCTCAGCTCACTGCAACCTCCACATCCTGGGATCAAGTGATCTTCCCACTTCAGCCTCCCAAGTAGCTGAGATACAGGCATGTGCCACTGTACCCAGCTAATTTTTGTATTTTGGTAGAGATGGGGTTTCACCATGTTGGCCAGGCTGCTCTCGAACTCCTGGCCTCAAGTGATCCTCTCATTGCAGCCTCCTAAAGTGCTGGGATTACAGGCATGAGCCACCACACCCAACCCCTGATGAGCAAAATTAAATCAAGAAAAATTCGGAACTGAAATAATCAATATTCTAAAAACCTGCAATTGTAAAATTAACATGTAGAGTCTTCTAAGTTCTCTGTGTGTTTTTACTGCCAACTTTCAACCTGCTGACTTTTCTACTGGTGTTGTGATAAAACTCACTCCTTATGGCATTCTGGCCAAGATTTTTTTTTAAGCCTTAAAGGGCTTTCAAATTAATGGCTTTGCAAATTATAACAACTTCATAGTAACCAACAAGTTAGACACCTTTTAGAACTATAAATTTAGGGCCAGGTGTAGTGGCTCACACCTGTAATCCCAGCACTTTGGGAGGTCAAGGTGGGCAGATCACCTGAGGTCAAGAGTTCAAGATCAGCCTGGCCAACATGGTGAAACCCTGTCTCTACTAAAAATACAAAAATTAGCTGGGCGTAATAGCAGGTACCTGTAATCCCAGCTACTCAGGAGACTGAGACAGAAGAATTACTTGAATCCAAGAAGTGGAGGTTGCAGTGAGCCAAGATCACACTACTGCACTCCAGACTGGACAACAGAGCAAAACTCCATCTCAAAAAAAAACAACAAAAAACAAAGAACTATAAATTTAGATTTGCCTGACTAATAATTGCAAATGATAATGGAATGCTTAATTGAAAAAGTAGTAATCCAAAGGAAAATGAACTAGATAAATGTTTATAAAAGTTAGGCTCTCAGCCGGTCACAGTGGCTTATACCTGTAATCCCAGCACTATGGGAGATCAAGGCGGGCAGCTCATGAGGTCAAGAGATCGAGACCATTCTGGCCAACATGGTGAAACCCCATCTCTACTGAAAAAACACAAAAATTAGCTGGGCATGGTGGCACGTGCCTATAGTCCCAGCTACTTGGGAGGCTGAGGTAGGAGAATTGCTTGAACCCAGGAGGCGGAGGTTGCAGTGAGCCGAGATCGCACGACTGCACTCCAGCCTGGCGCCTGGTGACAGAGCAAGACTGTCTCAAAAAAAAAAAAAAAGTTAGGGTCTCACATCAAACAGGTCAAAATCTTGAGTTCACAGCCATGCTACAAGGCATCCCTGTCCAGCATAAAAATTTTACTTTTTCTGCCACACAGAGGCCAATGAGAAAATGCTGGAAAAAATTTGCTAAAACATTTCCCCTCCTGCATATGCTAATCAAGCAACCAGACCAGAAACCAAAAGATAGATTTGTTACTAGTTCAAGATTACTTGGAGATTTTGTTTTTCTTATACAATTCAGCCATGGTTTTTTTTTCCATGTTTCAAAAATGTAAACATAGAAAATTTAACCCTAAACTTTAAAATTTAAAAAGGGCAAAAAGGGGGTGGGGGTGAAAGAAGCTTTTAAAAATCAAACTGCCATGGAAACTGCTTTCTCCAAAATTTTGGTTCACAGGCTTCATTAGAATACCTATAGGGAAAACAAAGTTAAGCCATATGAATAGGTTCCTATTTTGTCTGAAATATAATTTAGATTCAACTGTCTTTTATAAACCAGTGAGCCTGTGTTACTGTCTCATGAAAAAAATTCTAAAATGAAAGCTGTATGATCTCTCTCTCTCTTTCTTTCTATGCGTGTGTGTGTGTGTGTTTGTGTGTGTGTTTGGATGTGTTTATGTAAGTATACATGTATTATATGTTTTGTTTGCATGGTAAAATCTGACATAGCCAGAAATCTCTTAAATTTTTTTATGTAGATTGACTTAGATAAACAAAGGTATATTAACCCACATGTTTTTTAGTTCATGTGACTTAAGTAAATATTTAATAAATATGCTAATTTTAAAATTATGTGTAAAATTTTAAAATGTGTTCAAAATTGTCAGTATACATGTTTGCCTGGGTTTACTAATCAGACAGCTTTATATTTGTCCCTAAAGATGTTTAAGGTGTCAGAGTTTGACACAAAAATTACAGAGCTATAAACCCAACCTATAACAGAATTATCTTTGTTTGTGCAATTTTTATAAATAAAACCAATTTAATATTCTTGGTTTAGTGCAAATAGCTGTATCTTCTGAGTTATCTGCAAAATACCCATATATTTAAGGTTCCTACTGAGGTCAACACTTGATATTCACAGGCTGTAAAAATGGTTATCAAGAAAATAACTTGAAATAATGATTAGTTTGTCTAAGATTCCATCTCTTGTAAGTATTGTAGGTAAGCCCTAAAAATAAATAAATAAGTCAAATATAAGCTAGAAAATGCATATAAATTAACTTTTTAATGTAATTTGACATCTTAAACTTATGTTAAATTAAATAATATATACCCACTAAATGTCTGGGTTACTTTCAAATAAGACTAAAAAATAATAAAACGAATTGCTGAACAGAAATATGAGTTTGTTCTTGGCTTCTTAAACTTTATAGAAAGCCTAATATATTTTAGTCTCTTAACATACATTTTTAAACTATGGGGAAACATGTTTCTAAAAATTATAAAATGGCTCTCATTTATAAAATACTGATATGTAACAGACAATTCAAGATTTCTTGTTTCCAAGGTTTTCACCACAATTTAAGTTTATTAAGAGTTAAAAATTCTAATTAATATATAATCAGCATACAAAATGTGCCAAAAATGTAAGATGTGTTTTTGATGAGAAAAATATATATTCTACTCTCTATTGAGTTCAATTTTTTAATATATATTTACCACCCACATATGAGTGAGAACATGAGTAATCTGTCTTTCTGTGCCTGGTTTATTTCACTTAATGCCTTCCAATTCTCTCCATGTGATTGTAAGTGACAAAAAAAATCATTCTTTTCTATGGCTAAGTAATATTCCATTGTGTATAGGTATAACATTTTTTATCCTAAGTTAAGCTTTTTGACCTAAAATTAACTTTGGAATTTTGCAGTTGGGCCTTTGGAGTATTCCACAGGACATAACTCCCATCTTGTATAGATATTGAATGATTAGGCTTATTTGTTATATTGTGTGGAGAATATTGTCAAAAGATAAGTGAAATTAGATCTTCTCAGTTACATTTATGGATATGTTATTAATATAAATGTCCCAAACATTACATAAATTCATAAACATGCAATATGTTATCACTCATAATTTCAATTATGTTAAATCTTTTTCTAAAGTTACATTTGTATGGCTATATTAATGTATTTAAAAGATTACATGCAATTTATAAAAGTCTGATGGTGCTGTGATGCTGTCAGTCATGATTCTGGTTATTATCTTAAAATGCTATTTGTAACAGAAAAAACAGGCCACAGTGAGCCTCTCATCCCGTCAGTGGTCAGCCACACCAGCATTTCTAATGCCACAGTTTACACCAACAGAATCTGAGACCTGGTTCATTAAGTGAGGATCCACATGGGACATCCACCACATGGGAGGCAACCAAAGGTGCCCTGTTAACAGACTCTGTGGCAAACTATCACAACCACAACTAACAAAATTGTAGTGGGCTGATGCTCATTTGATGACGTGAACAAGTGTACCAGAAGTGTACCAGTAGTGAAAACAAGGATGGAACTAGCCCTCTACTTAGGGGTTTCATGAACACTAACATACAGGTGAAACTGAGCTAATGCAATTTTGCTAGAAATTAGACATGACTGATGAACGCCAGTGCCTCCATACCCACGAATGGGTCACTGAGCAATAAAGCAAGGGAAGTGGTGCTGTATGCACCCAAGGGCTATCTCTTTCTCTGTGTGATCTGGGGGTGACTCAAACACAGGATGGGTAATGTCATGTCTGGAAAGCTGGCAGATGGGGGATCCTGCATATTGGGCATACTGGGGGGTGCCCCTAGATAGCACCCTGGGAATGAACCATACCTTTGGTCCAGCAACCTAAAGCTATACACCAGGCTTACTAAGGACCTACCAGAAGGTGTGACTGATTTTGGGTTTATGTCCTTTATGAGATCTTTGCTATCATACATAGGAGTCAGTGCTCATAAAAAAAAAAAAAAAAAAAAAAAAAAAAGGGATAGGAAACTCATCTCTGACCATGGCAAATATT